CCCCCCCCTCCCCCCACTCAGCGGAGGCAACCGGGGACCCCCGAGGAGGCCAGCGGGTGGCGGTCACCTCTGCCGCCCTTGGGAGGAGGAGGAGGGGGCGGAGGGAGGACCAGGCTTCCTAGCCCAGAGAAGTGGGGCTCCGCTGGGCCTGGGGCTCATCCGTGCCCCCCTTTCACTTCTAGAGGGACCCGGAGTCTATGTTGTTGTTGTTGTTGTTGTTGTTGTTGAAAAGATTCCACCTGGAGAAATAAATTTTGGAAATCTAGGAACTGGCCAGGTAGCTTCTCTGAGAAAGCAAAGTCGCTCCCGATTGTGTGTGTGTGTGTGTGCGGGGGGCGACCTCCGGTTGTGTTGCACCCCGAGAAAAAGGGGAAGGGGTGAAGGTGGCCTGCGCTGGGTCGGGTCTTCTGCAGCAGAGGAACACAAGCACAGGGAGCCCCGCAGGTGAGCCGAGTTGTGTGAGGCAATCACAGCCCGGTGTGAGGTCTTCACAAGAGACTGTGATACCCCCCTGAAAGCCCCCCCCCCAAAAAAAAGAGACGCCTCCTGGCACCCTCCCCGCCCCTTTTCCAGACCAGGGGATGCCAAGAAGTGTGTGCTCATCTACACAAACGGAAGAGGAACGTGTACCCGAAACTCCCGAATGCAGGTAGCCCTCGATTTACAACTCCCACGGAGCCCAAAAATTATGTCATGGAGTGTGAAATGTGTTAAAATGAATTTTTGCCCGTTTTATGACCTTTTTTTGCCACCGTTGTTAAGTGTATCACTGCAGTTGTTCAGTTAGTGACATGTTCGTTAAGTGAATCGGGCTTCCCCGCTGGCTTTCCTTGTCAGAAGGTCGCAAAAGGAGTTGAAGTCCACAAATCTTAAAGTGGCCAAGTGTTGGAGGCCCCTGTTTTACAGGACCTCTAGGACTTTGCCTTGTGTGACCTCTCTAGGACTTTGCTTTATGGTAAATACAACTTGGCCAACAAGACTGGGTGGGGGAAGGAGCCTTCGGGAGTGATCCAAATGAACCCCGCCAGTTAAACGGATCGGTTGCCTAAAGGGGATCTCCGTGACCTAATCATGTGAGCAAACGGATCCAATGGGACACATTGTCCCAACGTCGATCCAACGCAGGTTGTCCTGGATTTAACACAGTTCATTTAAAGACCGTTCAAAGTTGCAACGACACAGGAAAAGAAGTTTTTCGCGCTGACAGCCGCCCTGGTCACGTGATCAAAATCGAGATGCTTGGCAACTGGTTCGTATTTATGACGGTTGCAGCGTCCCTCGGATTGTGTGAATGCATATCAACCAGTTCATCAATACGAACCAGAATTCTGGGAATTGAAGTCCACTAGTCTTGAAGTGGCCACGGTTGGAGACCCCGACTGTAAAAGCAAGCCTTCTCTAGGAATTCGGACACTGTCTTCTTCAAGCGGCCGGTCCCCGTTTCTCTGGGTTTCACAGAGTGAGTGGCCATTAGGTGGAGAAAGACTTCGTGGTCAGCCGTAATGCGCTAAAATGGCTGCCGTTTCACAGTTTTGGTTTGTGATAGCTGATCAATTCCCTGACCCAGCAGGAAGGGAGGATGAAGTCCCTTAGCAAAGGGCTCTTCGCCTTTTCAGGAATCGGGGACACTGTGTGGCAGTAAAAGACCCCCAGCAGTAACTAGCACAGATAGGTGGTCTTTACTGAAAAGGCAGCCAAGATTAAGCTACTCCCACCGCCACCCCCACCCCAAGCAACAGCTGCAGCGATGGGTTTCAAAACTTTTTCTTACTGGTTCGATGTGAGTGTGCGCTTCACGTGTGCATGCATAGCATTTGCAACTCACCTGCAAGCCGTGTGTGTAAAACAGCAAGTGGGAGGGACCAGCAGCTGTTTGTCGGAGTGAAACTGGTTCGCTCACAGACAGGGTTGCCATCTGGCTGTTTTTCCGGCCAAATTCGAGAAATCTGGCCGTATTTCTATCTGCTTGGCCATGAAAAAAATGATGTCTCCGGCCAAGTTTATTTGGCCGGAAATTTGGCTGTACAAAAGTTGCTTGACCGTGAAATTGGCCAGATGGCAACCCAGCCGCTCTCCTTCCCTCGCGCATGCGCGTCACCATGAGCAAAAAATAATTTGGCCGAATTTGGCTGTATTTTGACTTGAGTTTGGCCGCAGAGCCAAACTGCGATCTGGCAACCCTTCTCACAGATTATTGTTGGAGGTCCCGGTTCGGCCAAACGGGTGGAATACCACCACTGAACAGCAGGCCTTGGAAGTGAAGAAAACTGATGCATGCTGGTGCACCGTTCTTTAGACCCAGCAGTTTTGCCCTTTGGTCAAGATGACCAAGTCTACCTTCGGGTGAAGATCTGGAGAAGATCCACCTCTGATCTTCACACCAAAGGCAAGCTTGGTCTGCTGGACCCGAGTGAAAGAATGGACGCTTGGCAAGGGTAAAACTGCTGGATCTGAAGGTGGCACCGCTATACCTGTGAATGGAGCGCCGGTAAACATGTTGTGCTGCAAGGAAAGGTGCCAGCTGTGGGGTGGATTGCACCACCCAAGTTATATTTGGCACAAGAACCTGCCAACTCTTCAGTGGTCTTCAGGTGTTGGTTCTTGGCCAGACGGAGCAGCGGAAAGGCCAGCAGTGAACTGAACCAACTCCGTGTGGTCCACTTGACCGATCCGTCCATGCTTCAGAGAGCTGAGCTGGGAAGTTGTGCAAGATGCGCAGGCCGTCCAGGGCCATCAGACAAGTTACTTTTAAATCCCTACAGAGTCACAGCGAGGACACCTTCATGACATTGCACTGCTGTTGGGCGTCCTAAACTTGTCTAGCGTTTTAGACGTGCAACACTGACCCAACAGCGGCTGATCAAGTGTGCAGAATGGAACAATTTTTACAGCCGAATTGGCAAACGGGCTCTCCGCTTAGGAAAGACGGGTTTGGAGACATACAGGAAATCTGGGGGCGGCGGGGGACAAACGGGGAAAATGAAGACCCTGGGACCAGAATGGGTACATTTTGTAAACACATGTTGATATTTACATTTTGTAAACAATAAAACACATTGCCAAATATCTGTTATAACAAAGAAAATCTGGGGCGGAGGAGTGGGGTGGGGTGTGGAAACAGGATTTAAACTTACAGGTATATAGATTCCGATTCTTAGCCTTTGTAGAAGCCGATCTTTTGTATGAAGAGTTGTTTGTGTGCACAACAAAATATCTACACGGCCCAGTGCAACCTTGCCTTCTCCAGGCGGTGCTGAGATCCCAGGGAAAGATTAAATGCAGGGGCCTCCTTACCATCCATTGTCATGCAGCCTGCAGGACTTGCCCTGCCTGTGGTCACCGCGCTCCTGCTTCAGGAGCACCAGGCATGGGTGGAGCTCGGCTCGCACACTCCGAGCTGTGTAAAATCGCCTCAGGGACCTAGCGTGCCTCAGGTTAGCTGAGCCCTGAACAAAACTTTCATTTCTGGTTTCAATAAGTGTGCTGCCACAGCTCCCCAGAGGATGTTGCTGGCATTGCCAAAGTTCTCAACTTCGGTGGCACACCTGTGTGCCCAAGGCATGCTGGGTCTCCTTCCAGTTCACCAGGACTTGCCAGGCAGGTCATCCTCTCGTTGGCTCTCTTCCTCCTCCTCCTCCTCCTCCTCTTCCTCCTCCTCCTCTTCCTCCTCCTCCTCCTCTTCGAGAGAAGCCAGATCGCTGTCCTTGATGAGTTTCAGGTTCGACAAATCGGGCCAGACCCACACGGCATTTTTGAACTTCTTAATGACGTGCAAGGAGTTCTGAATCGTCCTCAAGAACGTTCGCACCGTGCCGTCAGTATGGGATATCTCAATGATGGGTAGGACCTCATGCTCTGCGATAGGCTGCGGGTTTGCGGGGTTCGGTTGAGCTTCGGGGTGGGCTTGCCCGGAGTTTTCAGGTTGAGGCGTGGGTTCTGGTGAGAGGTGAGACGTGGGTGGTGAGGTTGCAGGCTGGAGAGGTTGGGTCTCCGAGTGAGTTGGAGCCTCTGATGTACCTTGAAGTACGATTACAACACGGGGTGGAGTGTCAGATTCCGGTTCTGACGTGGTTTGAGGAGAATGTTGGGTCTCGGAGTAAGTCAGGGCTTCCGATGTAGTTTGGGATACGGTTACAGCATGAGTTGTGGTTTTGGATTCAGATTCAGGCATGGTTTGAGGAGAAGATTCAGTCTCAGATTGAGATAGGGCTTCTGATGTAGTTTGAGATGTAGTCACAGGCTGAGTTGTGGCTTCAACTTCTGGTTCAGGTTCTGTTTGAGGAGACGGTGGAGCTTTGGACGTAGATTGAGATATAGTTGTAGACTGTGAAGCTTCCAGTTCTGGATTTGTTTCAGGAGAAGGTTGGGATTCAGTCTGAGATGTGGAGCCAACCTCTGTTGGAATTTCAGGCTCGGGAAGAGATTCGGTGTTGTGTTGTGTTGAGGTGTGGAGAGTGGATTGAATTACAGGTGTGAGTGGAGAGACGCTGTCCGTCTTCAATGGAGATGGAGGCTGAGGTGGAGATTTGGATAGCGGCTCAGATACCATTTCAAGCGGATGAGTGGTCTCAGGTTGATCTGTGGATTCATATAG